CACCACTGGACATCTTACCAGAAAGACATTTCAGCCAGTACTGTCTACATACCACGAGGTACTTTACCATAACACAACCAGAAAGTAGATGATATAGAAGCATTATAACCCTTAGTCCCGTGGTTAAACGTTAAAAAGGTACACAAGTATGGGGAACCACCACGTCCCTCCTGTGTGGTGGTAACTCCTTGTACGTCGATTGACTGGCAATTCCAAGTTCCTTCATATGAATATCCACTTGTCCCAAGACAGGGCGGATATTAGTCTCACTGGAAATGGGAAGCGGACTAATTTGGATTCAGAAAGAAGCAAACGGAGGTTTACTCAGCCAGCGTGTTCTTGCTCGCATCCATCCCTGACACCCCGGTCCATCCTTCCGTTGTCTTAGTCGGGAGTTGGCCCCCAAATCATCAGCCGTGGGACAAAAGTATCGCTGTTACCCAGCCGTACCATCTGCTCTGTGCCCAGATGCTATGCCACCCGAAGAAAGCACAAGAGCCTAGGTACTACCAGGTCACCCAAGCCTAGATAGGAGCACTGGAGATACAGAGGTCGTGTTCGAAACACGGACCTTCCGGTCAGCATGTTCGTGCCTTGACGAGCCCCTTGGGAAACAAGCTGAAAAGTTCAAGATAGAATGCCGCGAGCAACAACAGAAAAATCAATCCGAGGGCTTTGTGTTTTGTGGAAGATGAGATCACAGTATTACCTGCAAAGATTTGGTGGAATGTGGTGGAGGACGGTCCTCTGAGAAGTGGTAAACCGGCATCTTTACCAACTTGTAAAGGTAGCGATATTCCTACTCAACCAACTGCCACCCTGTTATCTTTTCTCCCGTGCTATCTAAAGGCAGTCGTTTCACCACAGCGAACTAACTCTTAGCATTCTCGGAGCAGGGAGGAGCTAAACTATACGGACTGCTTAGGTATAACACATCTTCTCCAACCGACCTGTTCACACGATTGAGCTAGGCTAGAGACAGTGACGCCTCTGCTTCTCGGAATTGTTGTTGGGACGTCATCGGCGAATTTTGTAGCAGTGTACATGTGGCCCACCCAGACTTACTTAAACTTTGTCCCGAAGTGAACGTCTAAACCGTCTGCTTTTTGCAACACCACGTTAGAACGCTCATAAACCCATTGTGGAATGTTGCAGGGCGAAGCACTGGTCCTGGTATTCCTCAATAACTTGCCTGCATAACTCAGCCCTCTGACTGTGGCAAGCCGCACATAAAAATGGGTTTCCCAAGCGGCAAAAGATGCGCAGGCCACCTTTTGAGAAACCTTTTCCAGTCTAAGGAATTTTGCAGGAAGATTTCAGTCTCTCGAATTCGGTGTGTGTTGCAGTAAGTCCGCCGGAAGATTTCAGTCTCTCGAATTCGGTGTGCCACTAAAGGTAATATCTTTAAAGCTTGGCTGGAATTAGAGGCGATTCTGGACACTCTTGTCTCTTTGCTGTGAGGGCAGCCCAGTACTCTGGGTTGGTTGATTTCATGGGAGCCAATATTTAGTGGCAAAGTTTTGTCCATTGTTTTTCTTCTCCTGGTTTTCTTTCGATCAACAAGGGGCCAGGGTTCTCGGTTGCGTATGATGATGACCCTGCCTAGGGCTGTTTTCTAAGCCAGTAAGGTAGGGCGTCCAGGTGTGGTTGCACTGGGGATCCAAGGACCCATGAAGGTCTCATAGACAAGAAAGGACCTGAGTGGATCCCCACCAAGAGGTCGGACGATGAGACTTCACTGAATTGTTATAACAAATTCTGGGCACTCACGCATGGGCCAGTCAACGGTGCCTATAACAAGTGTGAGGAGAGGCTGGAAGTAATCTTGCTTATAAGATTGCTTAAAACTGTTGGACACTCCACGAGTGACTTCGCTCTTCTTTGGGTTCTTCTTACGGGTGTAGTCTCCTAGTTTTCAGTACTTTTATGTTCTGCTTTAGCACCATGTTTTACGCAATTGGCAAAGTGCACTGACTTACAAATTACAAGAAACTCGACTGAAGCTCTTGATTGTGGTATTCTTCAAATGAATGTGCTGCCTAAATGTTACCTCTTTTATCCGTTGGAACAACCTTCAAGATGACGAAGTATCTTTCTTGAGACAACACGAATCATAAGGTTGCTGAGATCTCTTCAAGCGATGAATGAAAACTCGGGGACTACGTTTACCTGATAACCCCCAAGAACAGCTAAAAAATGACTGTCGTGGGTTTTCAGCAGATTCACAGGTAGTCTTCTGGTAAGAAAGTATACTGCAATATCTTGGCTTCTATATAGCACATTTAGTTGTGGAATACCATACACAGGTGTTTTAGCTGGGATTCAAGTGAGTCACCATTCAGGAGGAAATTAGTTTGCTAACACAGGCAAAATGAAGATAGACCACTTTATCCCTATAGAAAATAAACCTACGCGCATATATAGGCAGAGGGTTCAGAAATTTCACTCGTGCTTTTCCAAAATTTTTCTGTATAAGTGAACACCATAAAATGGATGCAGTATGCCACAGGAATTTTACTATGCGATTCATACTGTTCGAAAAGAACATTACCAGTCATAGGCGATCCATACACAAACAAACGTTACTCAACCAAACTCACGCAGGTGTTTGTTCTATTTGTTTAAGCTCCGACAAAAATGTCCGATTGCTCTGCATGTGTATTGCTGTACTTTGTACTCCGGGAATAGCACGTTCACATTTTCTCGCAAGATCCTTGGAGAATGCCGTTCCAACGGAACGTGATGTGAAATCTATGGGGTCAAACGAAACTTCCGATGGAAACACTTCTAACTGGTGTACACAATTAAAGTGCAGATTCTGGTTTACGTGCTCCTTTAGAATCCGTAGCGGAACCAATTTCCATTCCGAACGTCTAGCGGTAATCCGGAGTAGAATTAGGAATCCACGATTCGTCCCCATGACGAGATGGGACGTTCCGAGAAATTGGATGGCAGCTGCGGAATCAGCGTTTGCCGGACTGAGTGCCTTTGTAGACGCCACTGGTGTCATCTTTAACGAGTGAAGCAGTGTGAAATAAAGCAAAAAAGATAGAGGTTGATGGCACATGCAATGGATGCACAGCACGATAGAGACCACTGGACTATGCAAACATTTCTGTATTGTACTGTAGCACGGGTTAGATCTTGGCTAAACACTTGCCAAAATTCTGCCTGAGTTAGGTCAGCTTCTCCAGCAGTAACGTAGAATTATTCTTGTAGTCACTTACAGAAACCGGAAACCCAGCTAAATCTTTCGTTTTTGACGTCTTTAAGCAATTGAATATGCTGCACTGGGCCGCCTCATGTTTCAGTTGGTACGAAATCCGAGATGTCTCGATACATGTATAGACGTAATGCACTACTCCTAAGGTTGCTGAAAACTCGTCGACAGCCCATGACCGGTTTCGCCCTTCTTAAAAACTGGGTTCCAGGTCAGTCTTCCCTCAAAAACAAATCAGTATGCAAATGAGTGTATTTCGCTAATTTCGTGCAATTTAGGTTCAAGTAGAACACAAGGTTTACAGAAACTCCGGGACTGCGCCTAACAGATGAGCCCCAAGAGGAGAAAAACCGGTCGAGAACTGTCGATGGGCCTTAAGCAACCTTATGAGTGGTGCATTCTTGTGGTCATTATTACCCAGTCTCATCGGGTCCCTGACAATATTATCATCGCATGCACCATTGACGATATTTTCACTTCAATCTCACAACAACCGTTACATGTGGTCGTAACCGGTCCTACGATTACGTATTTGCAGTGTCATGCAGATAAGGGGGGAAGTTGAATCCAGTTACAAAAAGATTTGTGCATTTTCCTGCGATCGTGCCAGAGTACTCATCCGTTGTAGCAGCGTCGCCAGTGCATCACCGTGTATAGTAAAGGTTGAGCGAGGTCTAGTACAGCCTTCACCCTCGGGGCTGAAGGCCATAACGCTCTTTCTAAATGTTTCCGCTCTTTGGAGGTACACTTTTTGGTCATGCAACGTTTTCGCCCGAAGTTTAAGCCATTCAGGGAGCCACTGTAATTTTTTCAGCTGTCTTGCTTGGGGGCGTTGTATAATGATATTTGGCGTCACATTTCTAATTTATCTTCTACAAGTGATTGGATAGCTCAATAAAACTGTTAACCCCTATCCCACGAATAATTTCAACTTGGCTACACTGAACAAATATGCGGTACTCAGGGCGCCCTTCTTTTATCCCCAAAAAGATCTGAAAGATCTGACGGTAGGGAGGACCTTCAGATTTTGGCTACAAAATCCATCCTCCGAAACTTAGTCAAACCAAGCTAGATGGTTGGTTAAATATCTGGCCGGTCAAACATTCGCGCTGTTGACGTTGATAGAATAAGTCCTCTAAACATTTCTGTGTTTCTGATAACGTGTGATCCACTTGTTGTAACTGGTACTCGTATTGATCGTTTCTGTTGTCTGTTTTCAACCGGTCATCAATATTCACCGACCATTTGATAGACGTAGTTCCAGGGGTTGTTTTTGTTACTGGATTCTAAAGTCACCTCCCAGGATATTACAAGTTTCTGTCTTCACAAGAAACTAACTGAACACTGAAAAATCATTAAAGTTTTATTAAGCAATCACAGAATCATATACGGCCAGCCACATTTGTGTCTGCAGTGAATTCCTAGGCTGAATGCCATCACTAATTTGGATTATTTTTGGTATCAACATGCAATAAGAGGATGCCATATAAAGTGAAATTTGGTTTCAAGTAGAACATAAGGTTGACGAAAACCCGGGGACTGCGCCTACCTGATGAGCCTCAAGAAGGGCGAAACCGGTCGTGGGCTGTCGATGGATTTTCAGCAACCTTATGAGTAGTACATTACAATGAAATTCATACCCTGTGCAAGCATATCAACCTGATGCTTGTATCACTAAACGCAACGACCAAACAAGCTGCTTGGACGCCAAGCATTCTGGATGATCCGGTGCAAGGCCCTTCCACACATATCCCGGTCGAATTTTCAAGACAGCAAGCACACATGGCAGTCGGAGCGAGGGAGGGATGTGGACCGACCTGTAATATATAAGCATGAAGGGATTGAAGTTTCATTAAAATCCAGCGTGCAGAAAATGCTAGTGTGTCCAACACAGTGAGCGGTATGGGTGACAGTTTTCTGGAGAAACTGGTGGACTATTTTGTCCTCCAACCAGACCATGTATGAGAGAGGAGTGGATGATAACGAAACACGGAAAAACCTGCATACATAAACTAAAACTAGCACATTTGGGATTTGTATGAAAGTGGACATATATGAAGCGGACAAAGTTCTATTCGCATCGGTAATAGGCAAACTTTAGCATGAACTTCAGCAATTGGGTTATTGCATAAACCTATCTACGTTTGATCGCGAGACTTGAACTTTTCTGGTGCTTTTTGTGTGAGCAGGGTGTGGGTAGACGGGAAAATGGTTCCCCCCAACCAGTATACCGAATTCGATTACCTATCGAAAGGACTGAGCAACAGCAAGGTAGAAAGGGTTAAAATAGTCAGGCTTGAAAAGCGTAACAGAGACACAGTAGTCCATATGGTTCCCTTCTTCAAATGAATTCAAGTACACAAAAAGAGAAGTATTATCTTATTCGACCAGGGTCGACCAATTGAAGAAAGTCTGCGATTAACACAGCCCGGTACCATACGGAGTTATGACAAGTCTGTAGTAGAGGTGTGATTAGGAACAATAACTAACATGAAGTAGTTACGGGCACTCCTCGGGCTTAACCCTCACCGGTGACCATTCCACTATGGCCGATCACGCAACCATCATCTGACTGACACTAGCCGGATGTTACCTACCAAGGTCGATCAGATTGATCCAAACGATGAGT